CCAGGACCATGGTCCTCCTCTGTCAATGACACATCCTCCCCTTTCCAGGTGTGAGCCCACGAACAGCATGAGGAGCACACCTTCCTCCAAATGGCAGCCTCACTCCTCCAAACACATCCCCCAGACCTCATCCCAGCTGTCCCCCTGCTAGGCAATGGGGGCTCTTCTCCCACAAGAAAGGCCTCCAAGAAGGGGGCCTAGGGTGACCAGACTCTTCCCACCTGCCCACTGGACAGTGGTGCCCAGTCACCTTGCCTGTCCCCATGGCATCCTCAGAGGCTGCTGGGCTTCTGCTGAGCCTCTGTCACTAAGCTTCTACAACTTGCCATCAGCCTTATTCTCGTCAACTTTACACTTGTTTTCATGTACAACTTCAGAGCTCAGTAATGCAGAGAGACTTGTCAGGGAGCAGCCACCCCCACACCTTGCCGCCTGCCCTTTCCCTGGGACCCTGGCTTTCGCTTGTCTTTTAGTACCTCCACCTTGGTACTAAACATTTCTCCAACCTCTGACAGCACGTTTCCATGGTGTGTTCTGGATCTGACACACTGGTGTCACCTACTGCCTTCTGGTGAGCCAGGAAGATGCCCTGTGAACTCCCTCCTACTTCCTGGATTCTGTACCTTTTTTCTTGGTTTACTCCCTCATTTTATTGGAGCACATCCTAGACTAACTTTCTAAGAAAGGATATAGGAAAGGTAAATTTTAAAACACCATGACCATCTGAAAATAACAGTGGGCATGGCATGGGTCCTAAGCTCCAAGTCACTTCCATTAAAAATGTAAGGACACTGCTGGTGCCTCCTACTTTCTTATGCTGTTGCTGAGGAGTGTTAGGTCATTTTGGTCCCTGGCCCTTAGAGAAGGGATGTCTTGTTTTCCTTTGGAATCTCCCAGGGTCTCCTCTGTCCACAAGGCTTTGGAGTGCCATCAGGATGTGCGCAGGAGGACCTGCCGTCACCTGTGCAAAGGACCTTCTGCGCATCTTCCATGGGGATTCGCTCCTTGCCTGCTGGGAACCCACCCTCAGAGCTCCAGGTACACCCTCTTGCACCCGGGGTTCCTTCTATGCACTGCAGGGCTGGTCCTCTCCACGTCTCACCTCTATTTTCTTTTCTTCATCTGTCTTTTTGTGCAATTTTCTGATAAGCCTGCTCAACTTCATCTTAAAAATGTTCAATTAAAACTTCCATTTGACTCTGGACACTTTTACACGCCCAGAGCTTGTTCTCTCTCTGAATTGCTTGAAGGCACCTGTTCTCATGGTGCTACTGAAAAGTCTTTCTCACTGGTCAGGTTCAAGATGCCTCTTTTGGGTTCTCTTCTGCTCTGGAGGCCCATTCCCCCAGTGGGCACTTTGTACATGTTGCTCTGTAGTTTGCACATTTAGGCGTGTTTTCTTTTTCTTTTTTTTTTTTTTGCCTTCCAGAGTTCTGAAAATCCTTGGCTATCCTCCAACCCCTAGCTATCCTTTATCATCAGGAGATGTGTCATGGGGCACCCAAGGACCTCTGAGCAGGAGAGGAAAGCCTGTCCTCTGTGGACCGCACCATGGAGATCGCTGTCCCCTGGGACCTCCAGTCAGCACCCTCCCAGTCTGGTCAACATCTCCCAGGAAGAGTTCTCACTGGGGCTCCAGGGTCACCTTAGGACTTACCTGCAGCTGTCCACCTCAACTTCTGTGTTCTCTCTGGGCCTCCTGTCCTGACTGGGCCTATACAGGGCCCTCTCCCTGCCATCTATGTGGCATGGATGGTGTGTGAGCAGAGCACAGGGTCCATCTCAGGGCTTCTGAATTAGTCTGAGATAGGGCCTAAGAATCTGCATTTCTCAAGTTCCTGGTAGGGCTGCACCAGCCTGAGGCCCTCACTTCAGGAAGCACTGTTGCAAGAGAATAAGTAGCTGGGTTTTTAGTTTAGTTTTGTTTTTTTTAATCTTTCCTGGGGGAGAGGCTACTGCCCACRAATAGAGTGAGGGAAAGACCTGGGACAATCTCTTAATTAAATTCTCAACCAAGTATCTTAGGTCTCCTCATCTTAGCCAGGCACCTCCCCAGGGCTATCTGCTGCTATTCCTTCCTGGGCCCTCTGGGGAGTCTCGTGGCTTGAGCAGACTGGCTCTTTGGCCACACACTGGTTTAGAACCCTCTTTCCTGAGCACTCAGTCATCAAGGGCTAAGCCCTTCTTAACAGATTTGAAAGTTTGCTGCTGCATCGTCTCTGTGGGTGTATATCTTACAGCAAGCAAAACAAAAACCAACCTGCCTCACTGTGAGTTCAGGAGCCTGGGAGGTACAGCACACGGGCAAGTCCAGTGAGCCACCTGGGCTTAGATGCCCCACCCCATGCCACAGGCCTCCTTCCTGCCCTCACCTTTAGCCACACTCTTGACAGGCTGTCCATGTCTGACCTGAGTCCCTCATCCTCCAGCTTCCAGGCAACCTTGGACTTGCCCTTCTTCTTGAAGGGAAGCTCTGGGTGTCTCTCAGTTCCCTAAGTGTCACAAAATCTATCTGCTGTGGCCTCTAACATTCACCACAGCCAGACTCCCTGCACTGAGTGCCCAAGACCAGCACAGCCTGGTCCACAGGAGGAGCTCAGCACATATGACCAGAAAAACGAATTGGCAGTCAATGGGCAAATGCTCAAGGGACACCAGGTGATGCTGAAGGTCTCTCCCAAGAATCCTTTCGCAAGGAAGAGGTCTACCTGTGATGTTCTGAGTCTGCATTCTTTGCTCTAAAATCTGCCACGGACACATAGATGGCACAAGGCAGGAGAATCCAGGCTGGAAGGAGTACAAGGATGACACTGTCACACCACAGCACGGCAGAAGAAGCCTGCATGGTGGGAGGGCTGGGAAGATGCCCAGAGCTGCCACCAGCTTGCCAGGTGGTCCCATGAGAGGTTTTCTCTTTCCTTGGCCTATTTCCTACCTGGGTTCTGCTGGAGGCCTGGCCAGTGGCCACAAAGCCCGCCCTCAGCTCAGCAGGAGACCTCCCATTCACAGCATGCTCTGCCCCAAGCTGGGTCTGCCCCAGACTCCCCAGGCCAGCTCATAGGCAGGCTGGTGACTGGGCAGGGGAATCTACTCCAAGAGAGTCCCTCCTGGCTGCTTTCCCATAGCCTTAGCAGTGATGCCAAGAAGAATGAAACAGCACTGGTGGAGAGAATTCAGAAGCGTGAGTATTAGGAAGCACTTCAGGGACTGGCTGTCCCCACGGCACACTGTGCCATTCCTTTGCTCTGCTCCACCCCGAAAGGGAGTGGCCCAGGAACTGCCAGGGATGGGTTCCTGGTCTGGTTCTGGCACATTTCTCATGGTGTCTGGATGCCTTGGTCTACAGAAAGTAGGACAGGACCTAATAAAGGTCAATGTGAGTTCATGCAGAGACCCCAAATGTTAATTCTAAACCCCTGAGATGGGAGAGAAGGGGTGAGGTATGGGGGGGAATGTGTGTGTGAGTATGCACTGCCCACATATGCTGGACGCCAGATCACAGGGAGCCATATAAATAGCCGCCATCCTCTAAGACGCTGAGAGATGGCGAGTCCCACTACCTCCCATTCTGYTTGGAGCCCAAGCCCACAGGAAGTGGTATAAGAAAGGCCCTATCACACAGGGGGCGTGGCAACCTGAACGCCAGGGCAGGTTCCAAGACTCGGGGTGCTCCAAGACCACCACGTGCTAAGGATAGTTATAAGAATCTTGTAACAAGATCAGGGACAATAAAATACAGCTGGTGAACAGTGACTGAGTGCCAGCCATGTGCCAGGCACTCTGCAGTGCCAATGTGGTCTRCTCACAGCTGAGACACAGAAGCTGTGGGAAGTCCCAATGCTAGGAATGGCACAGTTGTCACTCCATCTCAGGCCTGGCTGCCCCCAAGCCTTGCTGGGCAGGAGACTTCCTGTGTCCTAGGGCTTCCTCCATCACTCGCAGACCAGAGGTCTTGGTCCCTGGATAGGTGCACACAGCAGGAGGGAGACGACACAGGAATGAGGAGGAGGACGAGGGCAACTGCCCTGATGCTTCAGACTGGCTTGGCGCTACAGGAAGGGGCCTAGCAGGCCAATAACCTCTCTCCCACTCCAGGACTCTCAAGGGGAGTGTTAAGCGCCTCCACAGCATGAGATGACACACACAGAGAGGAAGCAAAGGGCCTCACAGGGTGACAAGCAGCCTGAGCAAACGTGAGATGCAAGTGTCAACAAAACAGCAGCCTCCAGCCTCCAGCCTCCAGCCCCTAGCCCAGCAGACACCCCTGCAAGTGCCCCCAAGAGTGGAGCCATCAGATGCCCAAACGGAGGAGTAGAAGGGTCACACTCTTCCCCGGTCACTCTGGGGCCCTGCTCAGGCAATACCAAGCACTCTCCAATGCAGACAGCGCACAGGGCACCTCAGCCCCCAGAACCTCTGCGAGCACCCTCCATGCAGATGTGTACATTTCTCTGCAGCTGCAGAGTGGACACAGCCAACGCAGGACTTGGGGACTGCAATGCTCTCCAAGGCCATGAAGAGACTCAGCATTGGAGGTGCCGAGCACAGGCTCCAAGGGTTGTTTGGTTTCCAGGCGGGAGAGGGTGGTGAGAGGCACTGACTTGGAGCTGCCCTCGTTCCTCCCTGGTGTCGCAGGCCCTTGCAGCAAGGGCCCCTGGGCTCTTTGAAGTATACTTAGACCCATGAAAGATGGCCCCTGTTCTCACGGAGAATTGGATTTACTCATGATTAATGGGGCACACACAAACTGATAAATGATATTAATTTGTTCCAGGGGTCTGAGAAGATCTCCGCTGCTTACCTCTCTAGTGCTGCCTGAGTTATTTCCTGCCGCCTGCAGATGTGGATGACTAACCTTGTTTGTACAGCCCTGCAGGAAAGTCTCTACGGACCATGGGGGTCCTCATGCTCTGTCCCCAAGGCCCGGCTGCCCAGGGCTACAGCCATGGCACTGAGGTGAACCTACCCACTGGATGCCAGGGGCTGCGCAATGGCCTTACCTGCCACCTCCTTCGATGAAGGCAGGCTGCTGCTGGCCTCCAGGTCAGCGGGGATGGGGCCCCCTCTCTCCAGAGCACGCACGAGCCCCCGAAGACGCTCACACTCCTCCTCCAGCTGGTCCCGGTCTTCGCGCAGACGCTTCTTGGCCGCGCTGGTGGGGTTCATGCTCATGTGCAGCACTTTGGTTCTGCTCTGGTCGTAGTCACCCTGAGGGACCAAGCACAGCACAGGGTCACCTCGGTGTGGGTCAGACCATGAGGCTTTGAGGATGCAAACAGAAGAGACAAGAGGCTCATAAATACTGAGTGTGAGGATCAAGAAATTGTCAGGAGCTGAGCACAATGAGGCTGCCAGGGAGCCACACAGCAGGCCCGAGTCTCAGGGCTATAGGGCTGCTGAGTGGTACAGACAAGGCCTTTCCCCTCTGAGTTTTGCTGTTTCACCAATAAGAGATCACGTTGTCATTTGCCTTGAAGAGTTACTGAATTAAGGAGAGAAAATAAACCAGCTGGCCCATCTCTTGGGACACTGCAGGTCCTCACCACACATGTGTCTCTGCCAAGGCTTCTTAAATCCAATCTAAGAACAACTCATGACACAAATACTTGAATGATTGGGCTTTTACTACCCCCATACTGTGCCTCTCCCTACCCACAGTGATAAAATAAAACTAAATACTTCTATGATTTGGAATGATTTTAGACTTATGGAGAGCCAGTACAGAGTGTCACTGCTGAGCACATGCCAGTTGCTAACCTCTACCAGGAACACAGTCTACCTGCCAGACCAGCACCAGCCAGGCAATCCCCAAGGAGAGGATAAGGTCCGAGCCCAGCAGGCTCCACCACACCTCACAGTCTTCAATCACTGAGACCTCGCAGTACCACAGCAAGGTCAGCGCAAGCCACATGACCCTGACCTCACCACCCAGACACCAATTCCAGAGGGACTGAAATCTTGTTACAAGGTAAAGTTTTAAAGAAAACACAAAAGAACACCTTCACAAATACGGAGTGGCAAATTGGTAAATAAGGTTCAARAGGTGCCTCTTTAACAGGAAGGGAGGAGCAAGCCTAGACTCAGGGTGCTAAGAACTCCTATTAATCAAGGTCCAGGTTACCAGAAACACAAACCTGACCGAGGACTCAAACCCTGAATACACGAAGAACTCAAGAGTGAATGAGAAATGTCAGGGACTACACTTGAAAATAGGCGAAAACCAGACAGATGCAGGCACCCCAAGGGCTATGAGCACATGGAGAGGGGCTCACACAGGTCACAAGGGGATCAAAAACTGAGGCCAGTGAGATGCCCACATCCACGTTGCACACACAGAGGGCTGCCTTCCTGGTGAAGGGCAGAGCAGCCAAGCAGTGTGTGAGACAGCAGCGTGAGTGGGCACAACTTTCTATAACAACGTGTGGCAAATCCTCTGAAGAGACCCATCTTGCTGCCTAGGAAGACCAGGAGACAGCCATGCTGCCTCTGCTGGACCAGGATGGACCTCTGTGGGTCTGAGGTGACTCAGGAAGTCATGGTCAGAAGCTGCGCTCTCAGGCCATCATGTCCCTGGGCTGTCCTGCTCCCAGAGAGAACTGTCACCCAGGTGAGGAGGCCCTGTAACCTGCCCCAGGGAAGGCCTTGGGGACCGGGACAACACTARCAAGGCAGGCATGTGGCTCAGGGACATGCTCCACCTGACAAGCATCATGCTGCTAGGCCACAGAGCCCATCCCTCTGAGTCACATTCCACCCTGCTCCATTGGTGAGGGACACTGGGCCCACAGAGGGAGACTGTGCTTGTTTCCTCCCGGCTCCCCCACACAGGGACTTCCCTCTCTCCCTACCCTTGTGCCTCCTGCCCACAAGTCCCTCTTTCCTCTAAGGAGCAGGGTAAACGGCTTCCATTGTTCAAAGCAGCAAATGCTCTGGGTGGGGAAAGAAGCTGGGGGAGAGGTCAGGCAGGCCGAGCATGGGGATCTTCTGGCTTTCCAGGAGCTCAAGCTGTGTGGGGCACTGTCCCTCCATTGAAGGATGGTGTGGATAAGACTGGACAGTGCCCCTCAAGCATGTCACCAGGGGCCAAAACCTGCCAGTTCTTGGCTAGCCTCCCAGAACCCCACAAGATGTGACTCCTAAGAAGAGCAGGGAGCTGGGAAAGGCCCAGCAAGATCCCACCCTGGACACCACCCCTTGGAACTAAAAGATCCTGCCACCACCTCAGACAGCAAACTGCTGGCCCTCAAGTCCTTCTGCAGAAGAGGCCAATGGAGACGGAAATGAAGACACGGGCCAGAGACTCATGGGCACCTCAGTGGCGGCAGAAACCATTGCAGAGAGCAAGCTGGGTTTGCAAACAAGGCTCCTGCCTACCTCCAGAGCCTCCCTCAGTGCAGGAGGACAGGCCAGGCCTCCATCAGTGCATGGAAGAAAGGAGGGAGGGGGAGTGGCGTGAGGCCAGGGCGGGAGAGGATTTGCATGTCTCTTTATGGGTTTTCTGAGAAACTTGTAAAACCCCAAAAGATAAAGAGACCCCTGGAACTTCAGCTGAATCACACATGTCAGGGTTGAAAGGATTATTTCATCCAATTTCAACAGTCTGGGGAGATAACCAAGCGTGTGAAATTCTACCGCCCAAGCCGCCCGGGAGAGCCTCTGACAGCAGCCGCTGGGGCCTGTCTTGTGGAGTGTGCGCAGCTGGACACGGGTCGGTTTCCCTCAGCACAGAGCTCAGGAAGCCAGGAAGACGAGAGAATCAGGCCCAGCGTTCCCCGTGCAGTCAGAGGGTACACCTGGGCCTCATCTGCAGGTCACCTTCTCTGCCCTAAACACCCAACTCTGGCTGTGACGAGCAAGCAGCTCGTGGACAGACATATGAACAAACATGGCTACATGTCAACACTGTGTCACAGAAACCCAAACCAGAATTCCATATGATTTTCACATGTTCCAAAATATCCTTTTGATCTTTCTTTGCAAATGTTTATAAACCTAAAAACAATTCTTAGTTTATGGGCTGGGCAAAGCAGACTGGCTGGTCATGTCAAGCTGCCCCCTGGGTGAGGATGAGACGTGTGGCCTTCACATGTCCCTTTCCTGACTCACAAATGTTCCTATCCCCCAGGGCAGCCTGGGCTGGGACCATGGCTTCCTCTTGGGGCCATGGGCTGGGACCATGGCTTCCTCTTCCTCCTCTTCCCTAGAATGCAACACAACTGACCTCCTGGGAGAGAAGCCTCAAGTCGTGGTGAGGTAGAAGCACAGGTACATCCTGGAGGCCACCAGCATGACCCTGGACAGGACTGTATCTGCCAGGCCTCAGCATCCTCCCATAGCTGTGAGAGATGCAGGTGAGGGTCAGGAAGCATATGACGTACCTAAGGCTGGCCCTGCTTCCCAGCAGGCCTGTGAACGTCAAGGCCCCTGGGYGGAACGCTGTTGTGGAAAAACCCAATACCACATGGCAGGCACAGGACTATCAGCTCCTGTTTGGTTTGTACAAAGCCACTGAGACACAAACTTCTGATGATCAGTCCATCTGCAGAAATTATGTTTTCCTCGAAAGGACCCAGGGTCCCCTCTGTGCATCGGGGAACTTAAAGGTCAAAAATAAGATCCAAGCTGGACATGGTGGTCCATGCCTACAATTCCAGGGGCTTGGGAGGCTGAGGTGGGAGGATGGAAAGTTCAAAGCCAGCCTCAGGAACTTAGCAAGGCCCTTAGCAACTTAGTGAGACTCTGTCTCAAAAATAAAAAGGGCTGGAGATGTGGCTCAGCAGTTAAGTATCCCTGGGTTCAATTCCTGGTCCCTGCCCACTCCCACCCTYGCAAAAAAGGGTTCAACTAACTAAACTAACTCAAAACAGAAGAGAACAAACAGAAATTCTTAAAAGTCTGATGAATTGGAGAAAAAAATGATGATTCCTATGAAATCTATACACATCCAAAGCAAAGTACTGGAGGGCCACCAGACACCAGGGCACATGTGTGACCAGGCTGCCCACATCTGACATGACAGTGTCTTCAGGCCCAGCAATGAAGGTATAAAAGCTTCCCTCCTGTCTCTGGTACTCCCTGCCCCTCTCGGGGTGTGATGACCAGCCCAACCAAAGAGTGTAGCTAGGTGCTAAGCTGGGCTGGCTGGGAAAAGGGGTTTGGTTTGTACAAAGCCACCATGTCCAGGATGAGACCAAACTCCTAAACCTGTCCTCATTAGCACCTAGTACTTGCCCCATCTTACTGCCCACAGAGATGCAGCACGTGGGTGGACGAGCCTGGCAAGCAGGGCAGAAATGGTAACAGGTGGTCAGAAGGCTCTGCAGCCTGCCTCCACCTCGGGCAGGGAGGCACAGTGTCACTGAACCCTAGTCTGGAGTCTGTGGCAGGAACTGGGAGAGCCAGGGGCTGCACTGCTGGCCACGGCCTGGAGCAAACCTCCTCCTCTGCACCTGGGCAATGTGGGTATCCTGCTCTCAGAAAGGCCGAGGGCTGAAGAAACTAGAGTGCCCCGTGGACTCCGAGGTCATAAACATGTTAACTATTTCTATAAACTAAATTGACTTTCCGTGATGCCTAGAGACGGCAGAGTCCCGTGGAGGCAACACGAGGAGGGATGGGAATCTGGACAGGAGAGGCAGGGATGGCTAATGCCATACTCCCTTCTGCCACATATAATGATACCACCACGCCCTGGCGCTAGGGGTTACAGTGAGGCTCCTCGTCAGGCATGTTGCTAAGGGGATGGGGGGTGGACAGCGAGTATCGGCTGAGAAGCGAGGTCCTGCAGGGGATGGTGTTTGTAAGAGGCATCTGCCACCCAGAATCTTCCACACTGTCTGCAGAACACTATGTCCTGAAATGTCCTGGCCAGGCAGGGGCTTCCCAACAGGAATCATGGGGAGTGTGAGGTGATTGGTGCAGGATGTGAGGAAGGAGCAGGTGAACACAGCTAATGCAGTACATTTTCTGGGTGCCCAATGGGAAACCCTGGGGTGTCTTAAGGACCATGTGACCCCCATTTCCCCCTACACAGTGTGACCGGCCAGGGTACAACCTGGGTAGTGAGGGTGGGGCTCAGGGTCTAGGTCTATGTTCCTCTGCAGCCTCCTTCCTAAGCCATCGCCCTCCCCAGAGGGGAGGCCCTATTTCTCCCTGGGAGAGGAAGGAGACAGTCAGCCACCTGAGACCCTCCTACTGAAGGGAGCTGC